ATATAATAAAATCCCTATAAGACGTGATAAAAAATTGATGTCATTATAATTTCACCGTCTTCCAATTCGATGACAAAAATACTCTACACTACTCCCTCCCTCTCTTCTACCCCCTCACATATATATATATATACACACATGCGTACGTGAGTTTTTTAAAGGACTCGAAAGAAAGGGAGAAAGAAAAAAGTAAAAAATGGAGAAAAAAAAAAAAAAGAAAGGAACGCGACTGTTTAACCACGTCCATAGCGTTGTAAGTAATGACAAAAGGATAGCGAGCGAACGAGCTAGCGAACGAGCATTGAGCGTGGAAGAAAAGATCGTATGCCGACGAGAGACGACGTTGGTTGCTGTTGCTGCTGCTTTTGCCTTATACGTTTCACGTATGTACATCTCTTTCTTTCATTCTTTCTTTCTTTCTTTTTCTCTTTCTCTCTCTCTCTCTCTTCCCGCCCCCTTCCCCTCCCCACACCCCCTCTTGTTCTTTCTTCTTCTCTTCTGTTAGTAAAAGAGTGATAAAGAGAGTGTCTCTCTCTCTCTCTCTCGGGTGTGTCCGTGCGCGCACTAGAGAAAAGAGGAGTATTTCAGTCCGCGTCCATAGGAACGAAGGGTGAAACAATGTGGCTTTTGTGCGAGAAAGAAACGGAAAAGCTAAAGAGAGCCTAAGAGCGATTGAAATGCTCGACCATCTCTTTTTGTTCTCTGTCTTCTTTTCTCTCTTTCTCTCTCTTTCTTTCTCTTTTACCACTTCATGATTCTTCTCCACTCCTACTACCCATCTCTCTCTTTTTCTTTCTTTCTATCTATCTATTTTACTCTCCTTTCAATGTGTTCTGTTTCTTTTAGAAAAAAAGTCACAGTGTGCCGCTGGTCCGTTCTTCAAGAAGAGAGAGAGAGAAAGAAATACTATTCGACGAAAAGAGAACTCGTGTCTCTTATATTCCTATAAGAGTATGTATATATATATATATATATTAATGTATAAACCTTAGAAAAAAAAAAGAAATGAAAGATAGAAAAATTCGAATTTAAAGTCCGAAACGAAAGTGAAATCGTAAGAAGGATAAAAGATAAGGGAAATAGAAAAAAAAAAAAAAAAAAATAAGAAAGTAAAGGGGGTCGGTTGGTTGGTTGGCCACAGTAATGGTACGTGCCGGAGGGACGGCGAAGATTGGCGGAAAACGAAGAAGGGGCTGTGTTCTCGCAGGTTGTGCTGCTGCTGCTGCTAGTCAAGACTGCCTTCAGATTCCAGAGCGAAGCATTGTGTCTCCGAACGTGCATTGTCCTCCCGTCACCGGGAAGTCGACAATGCCGAGTCTGTAAGTTAGTAACCCTAGCGTAAAAACTTATCTCCTCCTCCCATTACTCCTCCCTCCCCCTTCTACTAACTCTCTCTACCTTTACGAAGACATCGAACGTCGTCGATTTCGATTCAGTTCGATTTCAAACTCCTTCCAAACCTCGAACCAACTCATCCCCCTTCCCTCAACCCTACCACCTCTTCTTCTTCTTCTTCTCTTTATCGAGGTAAAGGGTGGTATCTGCATAACTATGTATATACATATATATCTAATGTAGTTATATAACTTTCTTATATTACACGCGTTCACAAATTATGAAACTGATTCTCGTACGTATATTTTTAACCCATCCCAATTGATACATCTTATTTTTATTTTTCAAAAGAACAAAATTGTGTATAAAATATATGAATAAAGTTGATAAACTAAGTTTATTTTTATTTTCTCATATATATTTTTGATTAATTTTTAATTTATATGTTAAAATATATTTTCTACGCGTGTGTGTTAACACTTAACAGTTCTTGAACGGGGGTTGCACGCATACTAGTGATCAAGTTTAATTCCGAGTTCAAAAACTAACTCGGTTTTATTTAACTCATGAAAATGCGCTCTTTTATTCAATATCCTTAAAAGCGCATAGTTTTTTTCTTTTTTTTCTTTTTTAAATAAAAAGCTCTACATATGTTTTTTCAAAACTCTCAAAACTCATAATTTTATAGAATGTAAGTAATAGTCTTCTCTAGAAAAAATTCTTCGTCATAAAGCCGACGAAATGCTGATTTATAGACTACCGGTCGATAAATAATAGTTCTGAATAGACCTATTTATAGGTTTCACAGTCTATAGCATCATCTAGAGCTATTACTTACTTGAGAGCCCACGTGTACCGAGATACTCAGGGTACTTTACAGCTGCAATCGATTCAGAATATCTTGTTGTTTTCGCTCTAAAAATATTCTCTCTTAATCGATAACAATTTTTATGTAATGAACAATAAAATACAAGAAAGTAAGTCAGTAAATACACGAGTAATCATTTGTATTTCAAAATAAAATCGGATGGCCAAATATCGCGAATACTTCAGTTGTTGTCAGTAGTCACAAACGAATGGTATCAAAGACATCATACTGCTAATAAAAATTTTCTTTAAAAAATAAAAAAACCTATCAAAATAGATTATAATATAAATCTCAGTGTATACATAAATTATCAATATATTAATTTCGAATGAAATTACTGATGAGTGTAACGTTTAACGCAACCAATCATTTTAAACTTAAGTGGCGTTTATTTTAATTATATAAAAAAAAAAAAAACAAATATATATATATATACATATATATAAAGAGAGAAAGAAAATAACGTTGTTGATAGGACAACGTCGTAGATGATAAATGAGCGAATCGGAAGTGAACAACACATCCTTAAGACCGGATAGAAAGATTAGGGGTTGGCGGGCGGTCCTCTCGTTGGGAATCTCCAGTCGCCGGCTAGCCGGACAACGCGTGGTCAACGGACAAAGCTCTTCTAATTGTCCCCATCAGCGAGGAAGAATGGACCGCGGGGCTGCTGCTGACAATTTCATTTGTAATTTGCATAAGGCTTATTAAAATCACAATGGAGTAGAGAAACCACCAGCCGCCGCCCAGGGTGCCGTTGCCGCTGCCGCCGCCCGATCAAGATATATTCATCGACCATGACTTTTTTTTTCTTTCTCCTCCTTCCCCCCTTCCTCCCCCTCCCAACTACTTGCGACAAAGGATAATTATGCGCCAAAAACTCGATCACAATGACGATTGCGATGACCACTATAATATGATGACCATCGGAGATATTGTTTTTTATATATATATGTATATATGTTTGGAATAATTGAAAAATTTTCTCTTTTTTTGAAAATTTGCCGCTATCTATCGAATCGAATCGATTTATTTATTTTTCGATACTTTTTATTTCTGTTACAATTAATTCGTAAGGTAGTTCTTTTTTTCTGTTGTCAAAAATTTCGTGACAATTATTACTACTTACCTACCTCGCATAATCTTCTTTATTTTAGATTTACGATGGAATATAAATAAAATATGTTATATATATATAACTTACCTTGAAGATAGATTTCTCTCTCTCGTGGTCTGATTCATGCCTCTATGTTGGTTTACGGAATAAATCCTGTATCCACGATTCGTATGTAACTCATTTCACGTTTGCACATAATCACAAATTAATATTACGTATTATGAGTTATAAACTGCATTTTTCAAAATCATTTTCAACAAAACGACAATAATATATTATAAATTAGGACTTCTCAAAGCGCACAACCTTGACGATTTCATATGTGATCGCGTAATTTGGCGGCTGTATCAAAATTTGATCAAAAACAAAAAAAATTCCTCGACGCACATCGACCGAAAATTAATTCAAAATCTATCTAGTAACGTTATAAGTATAGTAATAAATCTTTGAATTTACGATAGTGAAATAAAAGATAGTATAGTTATGATCGCTAAAATATTTTTTCGACTAAAAGGTATCGCAAAGTTGATAAATTTTAAGAAGCCCTGTTATGAATCACTTGTCACGATATGAAATTTACTAAAAAAAAAAAAATAGTATAACGTTCGAACCATACCCCGCCGCAGGTGAAGGTTGACGCAAAACTGAAGCGACCTGAACCCGTTATCATATTGCACGCTACCAACTTTCCCCCACCATAAGGTGCGAAATTCGTTCTACGCATGTTCACATTTAAAATAATCAAAAGAGAGATGTCCCTTAATGCAGAAACATTATTTTTATATTTCTTGACAAGCGATTATCTAATAACAAATAACTACTTGTCTTTATTTATATTATCATAATTTATCTTTCAATCACACGCATCGAGATAATGAAATATATTTATACTTGTTTTGTTATATATAAAATATTTCGTTTACAATTTTTAATCGAACCGTAACGATAAGTATCGATATATTTCAATCGTACATTATTTTTAATATTGAAAATCGTTCAAACCAGAACTTCCCAAATATTTATGAACCGAGATGAGAAAATCTGTACAGATAAAAATTATTTGAACACTGTAAAATGCATATAAATATCTGATGCGTCATAAAAAAAAAATAAAAGCTAATATATTTAACAAACCACTTAATTTTTAATTCTATATCTTTCTCTTATATGATTTCAATTAATTTTAGAATATATTTCCATTAAAATGTTCTCTTAACAAGTTCCATACAATTAAATACCTACAAAGGAAAGCAAAATATAAACGCGCACGCGATTAAATAAAAATTTTTGAAGTGAATATTATAGGAAGTTACTTTTGTCGCACATCAGATTTTAGCATGCACCTTCCTACCTATCACCACCTACAATTATTATTCAACCGAGGATTCTCGATGAGTAAAATTCTCCTCTCTCTAATGAACATATAAATTATTTTTGTATTTATTTTTTTTTAACGCAACTCAGCCGTTATGAATATCTCTAGTTCAAACGATATATTATATTCAAAATTTGTATATATGATATACGTGGAGAACACGTATAAAATAAAAATAAAAACTTATTAATTTTGTAAATATGTCACATACCGTAAACGTTTCTTCATTGTTGTTAATCGGATTAAAATAAAATATTATCTATCTGGTGGAAAAATACAAATTTCAATGACATTGATACTTTTCATCTCTTTTTCTTTCTCTCGTTTTACATTTATATATATTTTTCGTTTTTTTTTTTGATGATTGAATTGTACAGCAATTCGTTTACATTTAACATATATGCATGTGTCCTCTACTAAGTAAATTATTTGTAGTATATCTTAAAATATGCGATATCTCGTATTAATGAGATAGGGGGGAAATAGTAACGGGGGAAACATTTTGTACCCTTTAAATTAAACGTATCTGCAAAAGGGATGATGCTAGTAAATCATACGATTAAAGGGAATAATGACTATTATTTTAAATGTGCATCATTCGTGTAATGTTATTTGAACTAAACTACGCAGATATCGCGCTTACGAATCGATCATTGCGATTTCTAAAATCGCGGCGCAATAATAATAATAATAATAAGAAGAAGAATAAAAAGAAGAAGAAAAAGGGAAAAGGTTTCAATAATACATAATCTTCGATGAAACAATTAAAATCTTATTAAACGAATTGTCAAATGTAAATTATTGATAAAATTGTATTTAACTTTGCGACTTTTAATTCCAAACTAGTTTCCTCTTCGATTATGCTTACAAGTTTTATTTTTTTATTATCTTTGTTTATTTCTTCTTTTTTTTTTTGTATTTTCTCTTTTTAATACTTTTTAAACGGATTTTCGTATTTCCATTCATATAAGAAAAACATATAAACGAAATTAAAGAAATTATTTGAAATTAATAAAGGAAAAATTTGTTGATAAGATGATATATTTTTAAAATATTATGAAAAGCCACTCGAGATAATAAGAATCAAACCCAGAGCCATTTATTTATTTGACGTTTCCATTGTGATCGAAAAAGAAAACGGCATATATCATGTCATATCATATACATTCTTACGAACTACATTTAAGTAAAAGAAGAAGAAAAAATTCGCGATGAAATGTTTCAATAAATGATCTTCCGATTCTAATTCCGTACAAACATGGTATACATACTATTATTATATCCTTAGCTATTTCCGTAGCGAGAATCGTCTAATTTTCGGTACGAATGAATTCGCGTTGTTATTGTTATTATTATTATTATTAATAATATTATAATTAATTTTATTATGAATAGATAGATAGATAGATATATCGAGCGCAATCACGTTCGCTACATATACAAGATATAAGACAATAATAATAGAATTTGGGGGGTTCTCTCACACAAAACCGAATAAAAGAACAAGTCTTTTGATTTCATTACGAAAATCGGATAAAACTTAGATTTTATATACTATTATAATAAACTATACACGATCGTCTTGATATCATACATTTAATGATATATCCGCAAAAAAGAAAAATAAAACGAACTAGAGTCGTCAGGGATGAAGATAAAGAAAAATATTCTTAACGATCATAATGGCCGCCAGTTATAGGATTTGTCAATAATTATCGTCAGTGATATTATTACTTTGATACTTAATTTGCGTACCATACGTTATAGGTACGTAAAATTATAAAAGAGAGTATATCTCACGTGTATTGGTCGATCGCTGATGACTAGGCACAGCCAACGTGAGGAAAGAGAGAATATCACAGACGAAGAAGAAGAGAAGAAACAGCGTCGGCAACGGCACGTATATCTACCAAATCTTAGCTGCAAGGGCTCTCTGCATTAATACATTCTTGCTTCGCTGCTTCATGCGTTCAATGAAGTGCTCCTTGCCTTCCAGGTTAACGCCGGCAGCTCCAACTTCCTCGCTCTGGCAACAAAGGAGAGTTAGTTGGCTCCTGGGTCGTATTCTCTTGCACGTGTGGCTCATCATCGCAATCATCGCAATCATCGCCATCATCATCATCATTATTATCCTTATTATTCCATATCATGACCTTCATCATTATCATCATCAATATATCATCATCATCATCATCATCATGATCATCATCCAGAGTTATCATTTATCGTCATCAATAAGAAGAAGAAGAAGATAGGCTGTTCTTTTTGAAACGCCTATAGTAGACACAGAAGTGACCTAACCAACCTTGTTAGTCGCGTCGCCCCCCTCTCCCTCTCCCCACCTCTCGTAGTCATCATCATCGCGTTCTTCGCCCTCGCTCAGAGGTCCATCTTGCCTCTTATTGGGAGGGACGCTCGATCCTCCGGCGCCTTGTTGGTGATCCATAACATCGTCGCCACCTTCCAGCATCTTGTTGATTTTCTCTTTGGCTTCATCAACCTTCCTCATTGGATCGGGTGAATAACTGCGATCGCTGTATCTGTCGCGTGAAGCAGCCCGACGATCTCTAAAGTCTCGCCTGTCCCTGAAATCGCGGAAGCCCTGCTTACCGTGGAAAAATCTACCACCACGGTTGCCACCACGCCCACGCCCACCGCCGCGATTGTTGAATCCGCCACCTCGTCTATTACCGAAACGATTGTTGTGTTGATTATTGTAGAATCGATTTCTATTTTGGAAATTATTACCACCGCCACGATGATTCGGATTGTTAAAGCCTTGGAAGCGTGGCTTGTAATAGGTGCCACGATTATTGTACATCCGGAATTGTCTCTTACGGTAATAGCCTCTGTCGCCTGACCTACTGCGACTGCGACTCCTGGTATAAGATCTAGATCGTGATCGTGACCTTGATCTACTGTAGGTACCAGATGGAGAACGACTGTACTTTCGTTCATAGCTTCCGGATCTTCTGTTAGAATAGGATCGCGATCGAGTTCGTCTTGGAGATCGAGATCGAGAGGATCCAGAACTGGATGCACTGCGAGATCTGCTTCGAGAACGTTTCCCTGGTCTGTCTCTGCTCATTCTTTTTGAAATCGTACCTCCCCTACCACTGGATTCACGTTTCTTAGGCGTCTGTCTATGCTGCCTATCTGTCTCGCTATCAGAATCCGTTCTTGGGCCCTTAGCCTGATTCTGATTCTTCGTTGGTGGCGGTGGACGCGGAGGTTCTGGTGGGTGACCACCTCCGCTTCCAGGACATTGACCAATCGGTTGGAATTTACCACCGAGATTACTACCAGAACTGAACTTATTCGGTGTACCTTGCGGTACAGATATATTTTGATCTTTGTACGATTGGAATTTGTTTTGCGGTTGCGGAGTTGGATATTTAACTGGAGCTTGTTTCGGCATCGGAGGCTCCTTAGGCAATGGCGGTGGCGGTGTAGGGGCAGACATCGGTTGAGCGGCTGCTGCTCTCTTTTCTGCTAATTCCCGTTGCATCTGTTTACGAATATTCAATGACTTTTCTAAAGCTGCTCGTTGGAGTTTCTCTTCCAACTCGTTATCGTCGTCTTCGTCACTGTAAACATAACATTTCACATTCTTCATTTACATTCCGTACTAATTTTTCCTCTCACGAAATTGTACAATAATAAATGTGATATTTTACCTAGCCGCTTGAGCAGTCTTCCATTTTGCGTTTAATGCAGATGGATCTAGAGTAGGTACTTTAGGTTCAGGATGGATCAACTGCGACTCTTGCTCGAAAATGTCAGTTAATGGCTTCCTCTGGATTTCTATGAGAAAAAAAGAACACAAAAGTAAGTATCTTGCACAATACGTAGTGAAGGTCCAAATTAAAGAAATGTTCTCCAGATAGTGCTGGCTTATGTGGTAGAGTGATAAGGAAAAGACTATCCATCGGTGAAGCGAATAGAGAAGAACAATTGGAATTTGTATAAGCGTGATAAGATTCGTGAAACAGTAACGGAATTGCAACAAAATGAGGTGCAAATACTTTTTTTTTACCTACTGAATATATATTGAAATTTGAAGAACAAACCTTTACGTTGTTGCGCCGTCATTGGTATTCTGGGTTCTCGTTCATGATACGCCTTAGATGCTTCATCTCTCTCCCTTTCCCTCTCTCTACGTAGCTCCTCCTCCCTGCGTGAGCTCTCCGCGAGCTTCTCCGCGTTGCTAAGAGGGGAAGGTATGTCATTATACTGTGCTACATACCTAGTAAATATAAAAACATAAGTAGAATGCGATATCTTAGGATAAAAACAACTTCCGAGAGTCGATGCCAACAGAAAAGACCACAATTGAAATAAACGTAATAATTGAACTCAAGTAGTACTTAGCATTCTTATAACAGTCGACTATAACTATTGGAATGATAAATCGACAAATCTAAAAATAAACAAAATATAAAATGTCTCGAATGTCATTTCTGCCTAAAAATTGTTTAGGAATCAAACCTTTTTAGGACCGCTGTTTCTTTTTCAACCTTCGCATAATAAGCATTTAGTTTCGATTCGAGTTGTTCCAGATCTGGTAAAGATGACTTTTTCAATGCTTCCAAATCTCTTTCAAGCTTGTCCTTGTTTTTACGCTTCTTTCTTTCCTCTTTCTTCTTCTTCTTTCTGCTCTTCTTGTCTTCTTTTTCCTTATCCTTTCCTTTCTTCTCTTTCTTCTTCTTTTTCTTCATTTTTTCACTTTCTGAGTGGAAAGAAATCCTTTTTTCTTTCTTTTCCTTTTCTCTTTCTCTTTTCCATCTTGCGGTCTCTTCCAAGAACTTCCTTACCTGAAATGAAACAAATTACACATACACATTAATTTGATAAGTTCGTTCGCAATTACATATATAACATATTCATTTTTTTAAATGCTCACCTTATCTTCGTAATCTGAATCATCCTTGGTTTGTTCCAAAAACTTCCGTACTTTAATTTCATAATCGTCCATTTTTTCGCGTGTGTTAGCATTATAAGAAACTGGTGAAACAACATCATGAGCAGCAGTAGTAGCAGCTGGAGGATTGTTGTATTGAGCCATACGCTTGCTAAGAGGTGAAAGTGATCCACGATGATCTTTCTTATGCTTCCGTTTTCTGCTCGGTGAACGAGATGCAGATCGCGAACTTCCTGACGACGAAGAACTGCTGGAGTCTGAACTAGAAGTACTCGATGATCCACTCGATGAAGAACTAGAACTGGAACTCCATCTTTGTCTCTTTTTCGATCGAGATTTTCTCTCTTTCTTACGCTTCTTTTTCTCTTTTTTGTTGTCACCGACATCATTTTCAGTTTCGAAACTTTTAAACGTATCAAGAGGATTCAAAGAAGACGTTAAAGTCTTGGATTTGATGTACTCGATGGAATTACGTGCTTCTTCGTGATACGGTGCAATAGCTAAGCAATTTTCATAAGATTTCTGTGCTTCGTCATATTTCTTTTCATCTTCGTAACTGCGTCCAAGTGCTACAAGAGTTTCGGCCATGTATTTACGAGCGTTCGCATGCGTTTGATTCAATTTCAGAGCAGTTTCAAAATCGTCGATCGCTTTTTTGAAACTACCACTGTTAGCATATCTAGAAATAAAAAGAAATCAAAAAGATAGCGATGAGTAATGTCGATTTTGTTGGATAATATATGAAATAATATTTAAATAAACTTACAATGCTCCTCTTGCAACTAAGCCTTCAACATTTCTAGGATCAACTTGAAGTGCTTTATTAAGACACTGAAAGGCTTCAGTATGGCGGCCAGCTTTGAAGTGATCTATTCCTTCAGCAACACTTCGGAATGCCCACTTGCTTGCTTGCGCTTGTCTTAATTCTGATGAATACTCATTGGGAGGAAAACGCTCCCTAAAAATGTTTAACAAACGGACGACGATAAATTAAAATATATCTCACTAATATATTTCAATATATAAAATTATTAAGTTATATCGTACCTTAGGCCAACCATATTAGAGTGATTCTCTTGACCTAGACCCATCAAGTCACAAAGATATTTAATGTTGTTTGGGTTGTTGAAGCCAGTACTATTCTCCAAGAGCGTTTCATAACTCTGACCTTTGTTGTCCATAGCTTTCCTACACCACATAACAAAAAATAATACATTATTCACTTGCAAAGATCGTCCTGACCACTGGCACAGAAGAAACCAAAGCTACTTCGTTAACGGTAAAACTAAAGACTTGATAATCATGATGACCGAATCTTCACACTCCTTAATCAATAAAATTAATATCATAAGCTGTGTAGATATAATTATTTGCTTATTTTCAATTTTCTGACATCTCGTCTTCTATAATTTTATATTTATGTACGTATATATATATATATTACATATATCTACGATATAAAAATATATGTATGTATATGCTTCTTCGGTCGTCTTCTTGAAAAATTTTTAGTACAAGAATATATGCTCCATCCATTCCTGCGAAACGTTGATTCTTCTTTTCGATCTGCATGAATTATTCAAAGATACGACACTAATGCCAAAGATGCTTTTTTTAATTTATAATTCCTGCTTTCTCCTACACTCGTTCTCATTCTCTCTTTCTCTCTTCTTCTTCTTAAAGTAACGAAGAAATAAGATATTTACATCTTCTGGTATTAGAATCGTTCACAATCTATGTTTATACCGTTAACAAGCAGCAGGGGTCCAAGACATGGGATGCGGTGCAGAAGGTTGGTAAAATTCCTTTATTACCACATAGTTTCATAATTATAAATTTAAAATGGTACACAACCTCATTATTATGTAAACTCGTCTCTCACCTTTCATGTACCGCTAAGACGTATATTTCTAGATTTTTGTATCATGTTTGTAATTCAGAGATTTTCTCAACACAAAAGCACACAACCTATCATCAATTGACGATGGTTACATAAGTTTTTGGTGCGATAAAATAAATTGCATAGCCCTATGATAGGTCGGGAGCCACGCCTGAGTATATATTATCTTCCAAGTCGACCAAAAAAATTTTTTTTAGACGCAGTAGCGGTAGCGGTAGTAGAAGTAGTAGAGTAGTACAGTAGTTCTATCGCCTGTTTGCATTTTGTTGAGTCAATTTGAATATGACATCATTTTTTTTTTATTTGTCAATATAAGCTGTAAGTTTAAATGAGGCATTATTATGACAAGGCGCGATTCTTTTGAGGCTTAAAGGTATTGGATGGGGTGTTTAAGATTTGGGTTGTTTGGTCTCTGCTTTTAATTTCAGCTAAACCACATATGCTTTAATCGAAAACTAATATTAATATCTCTATGAAAGAAAAATATAATCTCTACATATATTAAAAATAATATAAGATCTTATATGTATATATATATATAATTGTCTAAGATTTTATTCTAATTTAAATATATTTCTATTTTCTATTAACATGTATAAAAAAAAATCTCCATGTCCTGTATCAAAGAAAATTAGAATTTAGTTAACATTATATGATCTGATAAGAGACCAAACAACAGTAAATCATTATTATACCTACCGTCTGCAGCACCCACTCTGACCGTTCAAGGTTCAACATCTCAAACTGGAAATTCAACCTCAAAAGACATTGATCTCATTTGGCGCCATAGTTTGGCTGGTGCTTTGAGAGTAACATATCACAAACGTAGATACAATATGTGCACAATAGAGCCATGTCAACCAATGCTCAAGGTTTGAATCATTTGTATCGCATTATAAATTCATCATCATACTATCAACTTTTTATGTTACAACATTGTGTCTGGCACCTAAATTCATAAAAATGTGTAAGAGGAATCAAGTCTCATTTACCTTGACTTGTTAGTATCACAGTGCGTCTGTTAAATTTCAATTTTGATTGCCCAACACACTGTTATTCTTACCTTTATCTTTTTTTTTTACAACGTGTTAAAAAAATAAAAAAGATAATTAAGAAATAGAAAATCGAAGAAAAAAGAAAAATAATAATATCGCAAATCTGTGTTCCCTGTTCAACACACAATTTAGAAATATGACGTTTTTTTATAAGAAATGCAACCAGCCATAAGTGATAAGAATACTAATATCATTATCACCACGTCAGAGAAAAACCTTTGCCTCCTTAATTATAATTTGTCTTAGATATGTATCACAAATGAGGTCAAATTCTCAAATTTAAAAAAATCGTCTAAAAAAACTAATAGTAATTTAGATGTGCGAGACCTGTACATATGTATGCATATATATATGTATACATACACATATAATATATATATATATATGAATGCTAAGTGCGATGCGCGTAAGACATTATTATTTAGTCTTGTGTATTTTCCTTTAGTGGTAGACATGTTAATTAAAACAGAACTAGCGAAGCGTGTAAATGCAAGAAATTTTCTAAAGTACTTATCTATATTTCTCGTAACTTACTTATAAGCTTCTGGGAGATCATCTGAATGAATAAGACCCGTAGGTGGATGTGGGGCTTGGCCCTCGCGGGCAGGTGTGTTCATTACAGCAACGACTCGTTCCGCTTCAACGTTAACTTCAGTGACTACGACGCAGACCAGATCATTTGCCATGTAGCCTCTTGTAACACCTTTCTTGTCCACTGCCGGCACAGTGGCCGTATTCAATATTAGAACCTATTTGCATAGCACACACGCAAAAATAAAATTAATATTTATTCATAATAATAGTATTAATAATTCATTTAGCAAGGATGTATTGGACAAATTATAAAACGTTTCCTTACACCTTCTTACTAATGTAATTATATCAAAATGCTTGTAATCTCTTGTGTAATTAACCAAGAATTATATAAGATACACTCGAGATACGGTACGATAAAACAATAATTATATGTTGAATATTAAAATATATACCTTTATTCCTAACTCAGTAACAACTCGAGGACAGTCAGAACAGTTGCAAAGAACCTTCAGTAGAAGTCCAGGTGCACTTTTACCCATAACTTGTGCATAAATTACATCTCCGACAATTAAACTCTGTAAATTAAATTTGTATAGATTAGCAATAAAATCTGATTCATTAGCTATGAAGTAAACAGATGGTTTGAAAAAAAATACTTACTTCCAAGAAGTTTCTAATGCGTTGTGATTTTTCCATAGTGACAAAAGTATCGAGTCCTGGCATTGTTGCATAAAATTCTGAATACGAAGAATATTTTAGTATCCTCGTAAAGAGAAGATATAATAATTTAACGTACAGAAGATAAACGAAAACGCTAAAGAATATTTTACCTTCATCTCCTAATTCTTGTTTGAGAGGCTCTACAGTCTTCTCAAGATTTGCTTTATCATAAAGAGCATCTGCTTTCTTAGCGAGGAATTGCTGAAGCTTCAATCTTTTTCCTCTATCTCCAAAACTGTATAAAAGAAAAACAACTTTTTATTGCACATTATTACATAGTCATACATAAATGTTGTACTATCAATAAATAACACAGATAATAAGATTTTAAATAATGCAGTTAAATACCTAAGTGTTTTTTGACGCTGTTGATAAATTTCAAAATTGGGTTCCTTGAGATTGAGTATAGCCAACTCATTCTCGTTGCGTTCTCCTTCCCAAACTTTCTGCAACTGCTGACCATGGTAGTTCAATGCTTGCGCAACAAGACGCGCGTCCATTGATTCCATTTTGACTCAGGAAATAGAGCAACCTAACCTGTAAGACTGTGAAAATCCGTAGGTTCGCATGATTCTTCTTGTCTTTTTAAATCGTAATACAAGGACCAATTGTGGTATATCTTAAAAAATTTCAACATGCGTCTGCCATTAATTGATTGTTGCTATGAGATCCAAAAGCATGTAGGCACTATTCAATAAAACCATCTCATGGCACAGTCCAGAAACCAAGGACACGTGCACGTAATCTCGGTTCCCACCGACTGAATATCCATAAATCATAATACAATTCCACTTTGCATTCTTTCGTATATGAAAATATATTCATGCTCATGTAATATATAGACTGATTATCGTTAAATCAAGGTCTCCAAATTGAACGCTATTCTGCGTATGTATATCATTATTACCCGTCAGACAAAGCGAATGTTTAAGAAACCGGGTGCCGAAGGTCGATTTACCTGTGTGTAGATGATTTTATATATATATTTTTTTTCATAATTTTGTTTCCTTTTAGACGAAAAGTTGAACAATGTTTAAATGCGTCTAACATCTGCTATGTACTTTTATAGTACTATATCGCATAAGACGCTACATACATAGGATAAAGGCGCGTTATATTGATTTATCGATAACAAGATGGTCGTCGGGGGAAGCCGGACTGCAAAGGGCGATGACGCCATGACGCTCCAATAGGCCATCTTTTCCCAACGATTGTCCACGCCCGTTAATTTTCGTCTCATGGGACCAGAAGACCCATTTTTTCGTCTAAAAAAAATCTGAAATATTACTCACCGTTGCTCGAGAATTACGTTCCGACGATCTGACTATGAAATTTCTCAAAATATCACGGTCCACTAAGCTGCATCGTCGCTGATAAAACAACTGCTTTCGCACGGTATACCGTACATTATACGACTCATCCAGCAAGAAGAAACAGGAAGACGATCCAGGGGAGAGGGATTGGCACAAGCGCATTTTATTCTTAGAAAACTAACCAATAAGGAATACACTCTGCTATAAACTCGATGCTGATTGGTTGTTATATACGGACGTGTTCATAGTTAAAGGTTTAATCGAGAAAGATGTTTATTATTAAAATGTTTAAATAATAAAATATGTTAATATACCATATATATTTTGAATTAAAAATTTTTTCTTTATTATTAGAACACACACACACATTTAATTTTAGCCGTTAATATTTTGTATTTAAAATTTGAAGTTATACAAATAATAAACAAGTCCATATAGATTCGCTGATTAAGCGCCAAGTTTCCACATTTCCGGTTAAAAACAACCAATAGCAAAAAGCGTGAGTCAGCGATGGCGTGTTTTTTAATTATCGATTATCTTTTGCAAGTAATGTTATTATATGACGATAGTAATAATAAGCGGGTTTTTCAAGAATAAAATTTATAATTAATGGAAAATAATTATAGTTAGATAAAATATTCTTTTTTTTTTTAATGAGTCACTATATATTATAAAATAAAACTGAAATGCATACATACAATATGTTATATTGTATGTCATGTAATAATCTTATGATAATAATAATAACAATATGAATAATAAAAATTTGAAATTTAACTAATGTAAAATATGTAATGTAGAACGTCTATTAATTAATTGCAACAGCTGAGTAAAATGTTCTGAATAATATAATGAATAAGTAGCAGAAAAATGTATACAAATGTATATAAAATATAACATACTTCCATCACTATTAAATCTTATATAATATTTTATTGATAACTTTCTTTTAGGCCTTTTTCTTAGCTTTATCTTTTTTCTTAGAAGCTACAGTATCAACATTCCAATAATAAAGAATTTGTGCTGCTATAATGGCATTTGCACTAGTCGAACAGGAGTACATAACTATCATAGTCATATCTCCAGTTTCTTGAATGGAAGTAAATATTCTTGCTAATGAACCAAAGAAAAGCATAAAGCCTGTTACTGCTGATAACTGACCAGTGCTTCCATTAGAATAATTTGTATAAGCTTGTATAAACTAAAATAAAAAACAATAATATTTAATATATCAAAGATATTTGGTTAGTTTAATGTAATTACCTTGCTAATAAGAACAATAGGTATATTCATTGCTTGACAGGTCCAAAGTAAATTAATTGGTGCTAAACCGCTTACAACAGCAGTAAGTATAGCTATATAACCTGCTAAAAAAGCTGTTGCTTTCGCAGAATCCCCATTAAAATGGAAAACCAATATTGCAATTATCAATGTCTGTATACCTAATGACACTCCATCTCCCCAGGAACTATAAATAAAAAGATATATCATATTAATAAATTCATAGATGCACTAATAGTCATTAGTAATATTCAAATTTTGCTTACCTAAAAGGAAAACCGTTTACAAAACTATAAGATGTCATAGCAGTGATAGCAAATAAATCCATCAATACGCTATAAATATTGATACCCTTGCTATCTTTATTTTTTAAAATCTTTACAATTTGTGGCACTTTTACTAAAATAGTCAATGCATAATTTTATGTAGTATTATTTATAATTATTTATAATAAATATAAAGACTTAACGTATTTTATGGAACGATTAAAAGCATACAGAAAAGAAGCATTCAATGTGAAGAACATTATTATTCAAATTAGATAAGCATAGATAATAATGTCACTGTTTCAACTAGATACAGTAGAATACTGTTATAATTAAGAGAATAATTTTCTAACCCAATAATGATCCAGCGATGATACCAAGTCCTAAAATTTTACTCAGTGTTGCTTTGAAACATTCAGCTGAAACATTTTCCAAAATTTCATGATTTAGTTGTATTGGTAGACATTTATTACATATATAATCCATATTCAATTTAAAAGCAATTTATTTTTATTGCAAGTCATCAAGACCAATTTCAAATTTAGTGTCAAGAAAAAATAGAATGTCGCCGATAATATTTCGATTAGCATACTTCATTATATAAGCATATAAACATAAGAATATTAATATAAGAAAATAAAATAAAATATTCGATTTCGGATTAAGCTTGTTTTGTCAATCATATGTCAATCACATTAATCCACGTGGCTGAAGCATTATACACAGTAAAAGTAACTTTGATCGAACATATATTGAATTATTTTTAACATAGATTTAATATTTAAATTTCAAAATAATAATGAATATAAATAAATTATTTACCATGTAAAAAATCCATATTCTCGAAATATATTTTCATACATTTTTTCGTAAAAAAGTATAATGATAAATTTTTTATTACAGTAGCCATGCTGTCAGAATATATATATATATAATTATATTGATATAATATAAATTAAGTACAATTCTATCTTATTATTTACACTCTTCACATAAATCACTCAACCAAATTTATATCGTTTAATTTAATACATATGTTTATTTCTAATTTGTATTAATATATTTAAACTAAGTGACACTACCGGTATTCGAATGATATAAAGGATTGAATCGTTCAACTATTTAAAGTATAAAGTAGACTCTTAAAGATTATTATTTTCGTCCCCAGTAGTGGGAGAATCATTCCTCTATTCCGATACAAAGTTTATGTCTTCACTTCTAAACTACTGTGCTGTGAACCAGTACTTTGACATTGACATTATCGTCTTACCGATCGGGTTACTTTTTTACCGACCGAAAAGAGCATGCGCATTTCGTTGCCTTTAAAAAGCGCGAGATTTCAAATCTATCGCATTTCTCGATAATCGATCATATCATGCTTCTATCTATTTTGAGCGTACTTTGTTCAAATAAGTTCTACTATCGACAGTGTCATGTTTATCATTTGTCATTAATCCTTTAGATAACCAATATTTAATCTTATCAAACATTCTAGTGTATCCAAAATATCATCTTCTTCTTTTTATAAGCTAAAATTAACAATATCCGCACGATACGTTTTTCCTAACACATGTATAAAATATTTACTCCGATGAACTTAAGTGACGTAAGTCAAATCCTTTATTTCTAATGGTAAGTTTAAACAGATCAAATCCGATAAAAATTTGACGTGTAAATATTAACTCGTTAAAGACGAGCATTATTTTTATCCGTCAACAAGATTAGACTATCGTTCAACGTAACACGAGACTTTAATATTAAGAGATATGATTAAATCGATCGAGAAAGTTCATTTCTAATATCTTTCTATCTCTTGTAGAGTTTCGTGTGAAATTAAACGATCTTATAACTGGGATCGAACGATAACGATAAGAAAACGGGTCGATCTCGATATGAAAATCATCGAGAGATAAATTTATAATGAACTTTTCTTATTCCTTGGACGAAATTAGTATTTTGATATACTTTATCTAACTTATCGATGTAAAAAATCCAAATCGTTCGATCATAAGTAACATAATAGTCCAGGCAATGAAAGGGCGAAGTGCCAAATTTTTGACCACTTTGCCAGAAACTTGATATAATGGTAATTCGACGACGCTGAATCGAATGGTGCWAATWTTTTTGCAATTGGRCCARGAGATCTTTGAGAAAAAGGGTAAAAAAGGGTAAAAAACGGCCGTATCTTAGAATCTAGGCATT